TTCTCCCCCTCCACCTTCCTCTTCCTCTTCCTCCTCCCTCCTCCGTCCTCCTTCTCCTCCTACTCCTCGTAATCCTCGCCCTCACATTCCTCCTCCTGCCCCTCCTCATTTTCGTCTCCCACGGAGCCGCGCGCAAAGAAGTGCGGCGGTGGCTAATATGTCGAGCGTGGCGTGTACGCGTGTGAATCTCCACGGACACGTCGTATGGACCCAACGTCTAAAAAGAGGAGGGGAGACGGGGTGAAGGAGAAGGAGGACCAACTGGCGGAGGATGAGAAGGAAGCTGCTGGATAAGGATATTGGGATTCCGAGGCTAGGGTAGGGGGGAGTCCGCTGATGAGCGGTCGCGCGCAAGCTCCCTCGTCATGTCCATCCTCACATAATGATCCGTCTCCTCTTTCTCCCGCTATGTTCCTTCTCCTTTCCTCCTCCAGAACTGACCCTCACTACGTACATCGCTGGATTCCTATATCCCCCCTCCTGTTCGTCCTACTCCTCCTCCCCGCTCTCTTCCTCCTCCACCTCATACTCACCATCATCATCGTCATTATAACCATGGTCATCGTCATCATCATCATCAGCAGCAGCAACATCATCATAATCATCATCATCATCATCATCATCATCATCATCATCATCATCATCATCATCATCATCATCATCATCATCATCATTTTCATCGTCGTCGGCGTTATCGTCATCGTCATCACCAGCAGCGTCATCACCTTCATCATCAGCATCATCATCACCACCACCAGCACCACCCACATCATCAGCGTCGTCATCGTCATCGTCATCATCACCATCGCCACCATTACCACCACCGCCATAATCACCATCGTCGTCATCATCATCGTCGTCGTCATCAGCACCATCATCAGCAAACGTCATCCGCATCGTCAGCATCATCAACATCAGCATCATCATCTCCCTCATCCTCATCAGCATCGCCATCACCATTACCATCATCCGCATCAGCATCGCCATCATCATCGTCGTCGTCGCCATCGTCATCGCATCGTCATCGCCATCGCCATCGTGAACACATCATCTCTTAGTACAGTTTCAACTTCCACAGGCCTCGTCAACCATTAACTGATACGCTCTTCAAAATCGAAGCGCTCGCTAGTTCGAACACTTGTCAGAAAACGTTTTCTTCAATGTTGTGAGGGTATTGCGGGATTTCGGGCACCCCTGTGTCTGTACCAAATATCTCATGCCAACATTGAAGTGACACCGACCACACAAGCACCGAAAACAATAACCGTCAACGTATGTGCGACGAGTCCTGTTCGCTTGTAGGCGTCAAGCTCGCTTCCATTCGCTGATGCTCATTGCGTTCTAGTCCGCCTAGCGGGAGGGCTCTCGCGAGCTCAGTCCCTCGGGGTCCTGCGTGACTGCGCGCATGGACATTGCCATCCAACCGCACCCTTGAACCAATGATAGCATCGAGCGCAGTTCCTCCTCTGGGATGCCCTCTCGTACGCCCCCCGCCTGCGCGCTTCTTCCCCCCCCCCCCACCACTCGTTGTGCAACAGGCGCATCCCACGAGGGGTCGTGGCCCTGGCTAACGCTGCGCTCAGACCGCGCGGGGGGGGGGAGGTTCTTCACGTCTCGCGGATCCCCACCCGCTCACACCGAGCGATCGACCTCTGCGTGCTTCTGGTCGCGCCGCCGCGCCATTTTGGCTGCGCCTACCTGCTGGTCGCCACCGGGATTTCCAACGCCACCGGGTTCGGGAGCATCGGTTCTGGCTCTCCTTCTGAGTGGCTGCCCGCTCGCTCGCTTCGCTTGCCTTTCTTTTCCTGCTGCCTAGTCGCGGCCCGACCAGTGTTCGGACGGCTTTCGACCCGCCTCGCGAGCCTGTTAACCAAAAAAGAAACCCCACCCGCCCATCCAGCAACAATCCGTGCGTGGACAGGTAAATCCAACAGCAGGTTTCACCCCAGCATCCTCATCACCGTCGCCAAGGCCATCGCACGTACACGTCGTTCATTTCTAATCGTGCTCATTTCTTATTCTGCTCGTTTCTAATTGTTCCTGGCCCCCTAGTGGCCACGAAGACGCCCAGGATGGAACAATTAGACATGAGAGGATCTTGGCCCAAAAAAAATTCAAAGAACTTTCGAATGCTTAGAGACGAACAATCCGTGCGTGGACAGGGACATCCAATAGCAGGTTCCAACCCAGTATCCTCATCACCGTCGCCACGGCCATCGCACGTAGTTCCTCGCGGATGTGCTCTCGCACACGCTTCGATTACGCGCCACCTCCCCCCCCATCACCATTCGTTATGCCCTGGCCGCCCCTGGCCACGCTCCGCCCGAACTGCGGGGTGGGAGGAATTCTCGACTCTTCGCGTGTCCCCACTGGTGGCCCAGACGACGCCTTCCGCTCCCTGACCGTTGCCTCGGAGCCGCCGACCAAAACAAAGTGTCCCCACTGGTCTCGCTTCCGGTCCGCTTAGGTGCCGCTTAGGCCTCCGGTTTGCCGGCGCGTTAGGCAATTAGGTTCGCGCGTAGCCCGCCCGTCCCGTTTGACGCCGCCTGCGCCTTCGCTTGCGGCTGCGACAAAAAGATGTCCCCACTGGTAGGTTCCGCCCGTAGCCCGGATCGACCCTTGACGCCGCCTGCGCCTTCGCTTGCGGCTGCGACGGAAAAGTGTCCCCACTGGCCCATCCAGCAACGATGCCCAGGAGAGTTGCCTTCACCAGGGAAAGGAAGCAGCATGCAGTGGAATAGAGAGCTGGGGAAGCCGTTGGGCCGAAATTCTGGACCAGCTTAAGCCCATCCCTCCATCCTTCCGCCTCTTCCTGCACTCCTCCCCACTTCTCGTTACCCCACCGCTCCTTTCAACTTCTCCGCACCCCTACGGCTCCTCCCAACTCCTTCCCGTTCCTTCTCGTTCCTACCTGCTCCACTTCCTTCCACGATTCCCTGATTTCTCAGCCAGTTCTCCTACTCTGCTCCGTTCCTCCCCGCCCTGCTCCACTGGTGCTGTGTCGTGGAGGTGAGCCGATCACCTCAGGAATCCCTGAGGAATACTTTTAGGAATCCTCCGGAATTCTTCCGGAATCCTTCGGGGCTGTGGGGCTAGGTGGTCCCTGATGGGTGCCTTGCTCGCCCTGTCTGCTGGCTGGTAGAGTGATGGTTCTGGTGGCAGAGGTGCTGGGTCGATTGGTTCGTAGTTTAAAATTAGTTAACCACCCGCTGCTGTGGCGGGTCGTCCCCAGTAGCGCTTGCTGTCGCTGCACAGCTAGCCCTTGACCGGGGTGCTACTTATCCGACTGGGCGGGTGCCTCGTCGGCCTTGGCGTGGGCAGAGGCTGCGGCTGCAGCTCCGTGTCTGGCTGCGCTGTCCCTGCCGCCTCCATGTGGGCCGCAGCGTCGCACAGATGTTGTGGATAGGCTCGCGTCCGCTGCCTAGTGTGCGACGAGGGGCGTGGCGAGTTCCGAAATCGCAGCACTAAACTTACCCAGGGACCTCTGCCGTAACATCTGCGTACCCTGGCTCCCAGTGGTCCGTGCCGCAGGCACCCTTCCCCCGTGCGGATGCTGGACGTCTATACGATCCCGTGCCCCACGCACACTGCCGCACAGAGAAGCATTGCCCTCCAGTGCGGGGTGCCGTAGGCGTGCAGACGCGAATCCAGGACCCAGTCGTGGTGGTCCAAGCACTGACAGAGGAGAGCATGCGCAGGGCGGAGCTACACGCTGCTTGAGTGGCCAGCTGCGTCGTCGATGTTGGCTTGGTGGGTCTCGGTCCGTGGGGTCGGTCTGTTGGCGTCGGTCGCTTTGGCTGGGCCGTTCTGCGTGGAGAGGTCCCTGTAGGCAAGGATGGTTCGACGTCCTGGTGGATCGTCGTGGCCCCGTCGGAGGCCGTCACGAGAGTGACGCAGGCGGCGAGGAGGGTTGGCCAGATAGCAGCGCGGCTGTGGGTGGCGCAGGCTGCTGAGGTTGCCCACGTCGCCTGTCCGTCGGCGGCAACAACTTCGTCCCCGTGGCCTGGTGGCCAATGGACCTCGTCGTAGGCCTGGTGGCACTTAACCGTGTCGCCGGCTGCCGCGACTTCCCTGGCCCAGTACAAGCAACAGAGGAAGCCCCTGCACATACCTGCCTTTATGAAGACGCCGAAGGGGAAGTCCAGCGCAGTGAGGGCCGTGCTGTCTGGGGAGGCATCCCAGGTGTCCGTCACCGTCACCGTTGTGCCACTGCCATGGGCGAATTTGGGCGATTCCCTCGGTTGGCGTCGCTGCTGGTCGTGGTCTGTTGGTGTCGGGCTCGTCGGGTTGCATCGCTCCCGTCGCGGACACGAGTGTCGTCACAGCGATTGGCCAGGTGATGGCCGAGAGACTCGTGCATCGCTGGTGGCACCATCGTGCTGTCGGCGGTGGCTTTCCCGTCTGAGCTGCACGGCACAGACCGATCTCTCGCTGGAGCTGGCTGTGCTCGGCCAGGCCTCTGGATGGGGCCGGGCATGGCCGTGGTGGTGCCCTCTGGATGGAGCCGGGCGTGGCCGTGCCGGTGCCCCTGCGCGCGGTCGTCCTGCTGGGTGCGCCGGGGCAGGCGCGCAGCGTGCCCCTGACGGAGGGAGAGAGAGAGAGAGAGAGATACACACACACACACACACACACACACACACACACACACACACACACACACACACACACACACACACACACACACACACACACACACACACACACACACACACACACACACACACACACACACACACACACACACACACACACACACACACCACACACACACACACAGCACACACACACACACACACACACACACACACGCGCGCGCGCACACACTTTTTTGATGCGCGGGTCGAGAGCGCACCTCTTCCGGTCGAAGCCAAGCGGGCCGCGCGAACCTTGAATTAACAAAGAGGGAGCGAGGAAGGACCGCGCGCACGCACACACACACACACATAGAGAAAGAGAGAGACAGAGACACAGGCAAGCACGAGCACAAAAGACATGGCAGGCCTCCACGGCGTCCGCGTCGGCCCCGGGCCTCTTCGGCCGGCCCCTCCGCTTCCGCCCCGAGCGGGGGGCTGCGGCGGCCTTGGGGGTGGGGGGGGGGGCGCGAGCGCCAGCGGCGGCCGCCGCAGGTGGCGGCGGCAGGAAGAGCCCTCCAGGGGATCGAGGATGGAAGCGCTTCCCCAGACGAGAAGAGCCAGGAGTAGGAGAATGAGAGGGGGGATGAGGAGGAGGAGGAGGAGGAGGAGGAGGAGGGAGAGGAGGAGGAGGAGGGAGGAGGAGGCGGCGGAGGAGGCGGAGGAGGAGAGGGAGGAGGGCTGAAGAGGGGGAAGGCGAGGGCGAGGAGGGAGTGAGAGGAGACGAACCAGCACAAGGGGACTAAGCAGCTCAGAATCGGGGAGGAGAAGTGCCCCCCGCCCCCAAAGCAGAGCGGACTTCTGCAGGCGAGGCTGCGCCGCGGCGTGCGACGGGGGGCAGCGCCACGGCGGCCGCCGAGGCGCCGGCGGCAGGATCATGGACACATGTACAGTGGAGGCCAGTTCACAAGAAAACTTCCACAAGAAACCAAACCCTGAGACCCCAGCACGTCCATTGATTTTTGGAACGGGAGAGTCACGCTGTCCATCCATCGAAACCCAAGAAACCCAGGGCACCCTGGAGCCATGCAGGGTGTTTCTTGGCATGGGCCTCCACTGTAGTCGGACGGGCCGAGCGCCCCGAGAAAAGAGGCACGCGGCCGCATGCGCGTCCAGCTCCCGTCCCGGGCCGGCCGGGTCGGGCAAGGCTGCTTTGGAAACGCCCTGGACCGTTTCGTAAACGCCAACTGTCGGGTCCGGGGGGCTTTGCCTCCCTTGGATGTAGACTGCGCCGGTATGGGCACTCTGCGAAGCCAGATGCCAAGGGCGAGCAGAGGCGGGCGGGCAGCCCGACCAAGGGCAGGCAGGCGGGCAGCCCGCCGAGGGGCGAGCAGGGGCAGGCGAGCAGAGGCAGGCGGGCAGCCCGACGAACGGGCAGCAGCCCCACGGCTTTCCGCTGGCTTCCGCCGGCAGGCCCGTCGCCGTTCCACGGCGCCCGCCCGCCCGCCGCCGGCGCCGCCCGCCCGCTGCCGCCGGCCCTCTTGCCGAGGCCGAGGCCGAGGCCCTCTCTTCTGCAGCGCGCTCCGCACGGGGCTCACGAGGGCCCGACCCTTCCTCCTCCTCCTCCTCCCTTCCTCCTCCTCCTCCTTTTCCTCCTCTCTCCTCCTCCCTCCTCCTCACTTTTTCCCCTCTCCTCCTCCTCCTCCCTCCTCCTCCTCCTCCTCCTTGCCTCGTCCTCCGCCTCCTCCTCTCTCTCCTCCTCCTCCTCCTCCTCCTCCTCCTCCTCTTCCTCCTCCCCCATTCCTTTTCCTTGAAAAACAACTTCTCCCCGTCGCACCCCGAGGCCAATTTTTAGGGCGGGCCGGGCGTTTCGCCTGAGACTTCCTCACCACTTACGACTCTGAAGCTTTAAAAGTGGCAGCCGCTTCGCGGATGGGGAGCGGGTGGTTTTCAAATGTTGCTCTCGCCTCAGCGCCGCGCACAGTCGTTTTAAACATTTTGCATATGGCCTTAGCGCCGCGCGCATTCGTTTCCAAAAACTGCAAAATCTTCACGGATTGAGGGCGGGTCGTTTTCAACATGTGGCTCTCGCCTTAGCGCCGCGCATATTCGTCTTGAACATTCGCAAGAGTTTCACGGATTGAGGGCGGGTCGTTTTCAAAATGTGGCTCTCGCTTTAGCGCCGCGCACATTCGTTTTCAAAAATTGCACGCGTTTTACTGATTCCCATGATCGACGTACCAGAAATGGCGTTTTGGAAGAATTCAAGATTACTACGCGGGTGCACCTGTTATGTTGATTCGCTCTGTTGGATTCCCAAAAGTGGCGTTCTGTCACGGTTCCAGATCGTCAAGACGCAGCAATCAGGTTGATCTGTGGCGTTGAAATCCCGAGAACAATGTTTTGGCATGCTTCAGGGTCTTCAGAGGGTTGCCTTCCAACGAGGCAGTTCCCTCAATGGAAATGAACCGTGGCAGGGGCCTGCGAAGAGGGAGCTTGGACCGAGGGTTAACTCCAACATCGTTGATGACTCTTGGGTTTACACTGGTCCTCCTCCTCCTCCTCCTCCTCCTCCTCCTCTCCTCCTCCTCCTCCTCCTCCTCCTCCTCCTCCTCCTCCTCCTCCTCCTCCTCCTCCTCCTCCTCCTCCTCCTCCTCCCCCCCTCCTCCCCCTCCTCCTCATCTCCGTGCTCCTCCTCCTCCTCCTCCTCTTCCTCCTCCTCCTCCTCTGCTTCCCCGTCCGAGCAAGGGGGAGGGAGGCAGAGGGGAGGGGCGGGGACTGTAGCCGTGTCGCCCCCCCGCAGGGGCCCGCAGAGCGGCCCCCCCCCCCCCCGCAGGAGCGGGGGCCGCGGAGAGACGCCGGGGCGGAAAGGCTCAAAGGCTCAGTCCTTCGGAGGCCTGGGGCCCTCGAGGCTCAGGTTGGGCATGTCCTCCTACAGGCGGATCTTGGAAGAGGCGCAAAACAAGTAGTCGAACAAACGTCAGACATGGCCAGAGCAGAACGAAAAACGTCACCGGGCTACTTTTTTGGAGCCATTCTTCCTGCGCGCTCCTCCTGTGGATGGGGCACGCCCGACTTGACTCGAGCCCCGACTGCCTGACTCCTGTCCCGGGGCGTGCCCAGGCCAAGGCTTCGGTGCGGATCCAGCCGCACTGGCGCGATGCCACCATGTTGAGGTCCAAGAGGAGGTCCCAAGAGGTCCTCCGCCCTCGATCCAAGGAGGCCCCAAGAGGTCCTCCACCCTCGAGCCTCGAACCCCGATGTCTGGGACGGCACGGCCCCGCTCTTTCGGACGTCTGGGCCTGCCTCCCCCCAGGCAGTCCCAAGGAGGGTCACCACAGGGGCTCGCCATTTCCTCGAGGGGGGCGGCCCCTGAGGAGCCCTTGCGCCCCCCAGAACCTCCCAAGACGCTCAAACGTCCAGCATCCCACCCTTGATCTTTTTTATGTTTTTTCCCGCGCCAGAGAACCCAAACTCCATGAATCACCACGCGAGCGAGCAATCTAATGACATCCGATGGCACCGGTGCCCACCCTTGATCTTCGTTGAACCTCGATCCTGAAGAGCTGGCGGTACCCCTTAGTGGTGGCCCCCTGGAGGCCGCCGAAACTGCGGAAAGACGCGCCGTGGTTGAAAAACACATCTTGGGGCCCCGACCTTCGGCGCCAATGTTTGTCAGTGCTGCGTCCCCTAGAGACCCCGACCCCTTCCTCGGCGCTTCATCCTGGGTCGCTACACTTGGTCATACCTGGGCCTGGCGAGGCGCCCCAGCAGGCCGAGAATCCAGAACGTCACTCCGATGGTAGGACCCCGAATGTGGTTCTGCTAAACTATGGTGAGGGCATTTTTTTTTATCTCTGTAGGCCCTGCGCGCGCGCAGGGGGTTCATGCATGCATTCAGGAAGAGGGGGCGGCAGGCCGAGGCTACCCGCGCGCCCACACGGCCGCCAGCTGCGCCTCCAGGTCCATTAGGAGGGCTGACGTCGCGCCTCGGAGCTCGTCCGATGCCGACCGCCATTGGCCCGAGGCCTTCACGGGCGCGGTCGGGCTCGGCTCCGAGTGGCGCTCCCGCAGGTCATCCGCCGAGAGGTCCACGCAGGCGTCCTGCTCAGCCACGGCCTCTGCAGCAGCCACACTGCTGTTCGTGCCCTCGGACGCCTGCGGCAGCACCTCGCCACCAGCAGCCTCGGACAGCCCGATGGGCTCCGAGGTGCCTGCAGTGCCGCCGCTCAGGGCGGCCTCCTGGGCGAACCTGGGGCTCCAATCGTGGTCTGGCCATGGAAATCACCGCCGCCCTCACGAGATAAGGAATCCCCCAGGGTCTGAAGCTTCCTTAGTACATTCCTTAACCAACACCCTCACCTTATGGCGACGTCATGATCAGGGAAATAGTCGTCATGTAAGAGATCTGGGCCAGCTTCCAGGAAGCTCCTTGAAACAAGCCTGGGCCAATTTCTGCTGTTAGCAATGGGGGGCGAACGTAATCAAACAACTGGGCCAACTTTCCGGCAAGCTGGCTAAGAAACACTGGCCCAGCTTTCCGGGAGGAGGTATCTTAATCATATGCTCGGCCGTGCTCTGACAACGCACTTCGTCGTCCTCCTCGTCCTTATCCAGTGCGCGGAGCAAGCCGTTCGGACGTGTCCGTGCCACTCGCCGGTCAAGCCGCCTCCGGTTAGTAACATGAGACACGAGCCCCATAGGGAGGGGCTCCCGCTAGGGACTTCCTTGAAATTCACTCTCACACGGGGCTCCCGCTCGAGACTTCCTGTACATGCCGGTCTCAGGAGCCCAGAAATGACGACAGCTAAAGGGTTCCGATATCCCGCTCGGACTTAAAAAGCATGGAGTGGGGCCTCCACAGGGAAGGGCTCCCGCTCGAGACGCCCTCGCGACTCACTCAAACACGAGGCTCCCGCTCCAGACTTCCTCAACATTCAGCCCTCAGGAGACCAAAAGTGAAGGCTGTCACAGGGTTCCGAAAACTCGCTCGGATCAAAACGTGAAGTTAGGACCCCATACGGCGGGGCTCCCGCCCGAGTTCCCCGCGATTCGCTCACATATAAGGCTCCCGCTCCAGACTTCCTCAATAGTCAAGCCACGGGAGCCCTGAAATGACGAGTGCTGAAAGACTACGAAACCCCGCTCGGATTGAAAACATGAAGTGGGGACCTCATAGGGAAGGGCTCCCACTCGAGACTCCCCCACGGTTCGCTCACACGCGAGTCTCCCGCTTCTGTTTCTCCATAGACATGCCTCAGGAGCCCGAAGGTGATGACAGTTGCAGGGTTCCAGTACCCCGCTCGGATTAAAAACATGAAGTGGGTACCCCGTAAATAGAGAGACGCTCCCGCTCGAGCCTTCCTCGCTTTTCACTCACAGACGAAGCCCCCGCTCAAGACTTCCTCAGTATTCAAACCTCACGAGACCAAGAGTGACGACAGCTACAGAGTTCTGATACCCCGCTCGGCATGAAAAACATCAAGTGGGGATCCCGTAAGGAGGGGCTCCCACTCGAGACTCCCCCGTGATTAACTCACACACGAGGCTAACCCTCGAGGCTTCCTGTATGTGCCGGTCTCAGGAACCCAGAAATGACGACAGCCAAAGGGTCCGATACCGCGCTCGGATTTGTAAATATATATATATATATATATATATATATACATATATATATATATATATATATATATATGTGAAGTGGGGCCTCCATAAGAAAGGGCTCCCGCTCGAGACTTCCCCGAGACTCGCTCACACACGATGCTCGCTCCAGCAATCCGCAATATTCAGCCCTCAAGAGACCAAGAGTGACAACGGTTACAAGGTTCCGATACCCCGCTCGCATTAAAAACATGGGGTGGGGACCCCATAGGGAGGGGCTCCCACTCGAGACGTCCTCGCGATTCACTCACGCACTAGGATCCCGATCGAATCTTCCTCGCGATTAGTGTGTGTGTGAGTGTGATTGAATGTGTGCGAACGTGTGCGATGATGATGCGGATGATGATGATACTGATGATGACGACGATGAGGATGCTGAAGACGCAGATGAATGTGAAGATGAGTATGCAAATGAATATGACGATGAAGATGCAGATGACTAGGAAAATTAACAATGCTGATGATGACGACGACGATGATGATGGATGTTATGGTGATGGCGATTATGATGGTGATGCATTGTGATGATGATGCTGCTGCTGATTATGATGATGATGGTGACGATGATGCTGATGCTGGTGGTGGTGATGCTGATGCTCACGTCCTCAAGATGCGTGTGCGAGCGCGTGGGAGAATGCGTACGTATGCGTGTGATGGTGATGGTGTTGGTGTAATGGTGAGTGTGAAAACATGATGTGGTGATGATGGCCGGTGATCATGATGGGATGATGATCGTGGTGCTGCTGCTGCTGTTGTTGCTGCTGCCGCTGCCGCTGATGATGATGATGATGATGACGATGATGATGATGATGATGATGATGATGATGATGATGATGATGATGATGATGGGGATGATGATGATGATGATGATGATGATGATGATGATGATGATGATGATGATGATGATGATGATGATGATGATGATGCTGATGCTGATTGATGCTGATGATGATGATGCTGATGATGCTGATGATGCTGATGATGCTGATGCTGATGAGGATGAGGATGAGGGATGAGGATGAGGATGAGGATGATGATGATGATGATGATGATGATGATGATGATGATGATGATGATGATGATGATGATGATGATGATGATGATGGCCTGATGGCGATGACGGGTGTGAAAGGAAGTGGGGAGCAGCGGGTGAGGCGCTCGTTCCTGCGCGGGGGGGGGCCAGAGAAAACAAGACCCCCCACTCAGGATGTGGAGGAACACGTCCGCAGCGAGTTGCCCGCGACTGGGGAGCCCTGGGTGGGCACACCCCCGCCCCTGCCGCCCGCCGCCCGCCGCCCGCCTCGGCGCCGAGAGGCAACGGCGGGACACCTCCGCACCGACCCGCTCGGCGAACGGCGGCGCGCCGCGGGGGAAGCGCGAAGAGGGGGCCGCGGGCCTCCTCGGCGGGCCGCGGGGCCTCTCGGACGAGGCCCTCGCGCCTTCCTGGGAAGCGCCGCCCGCGACCCCGGAGGAGGAGGAGGAGGATGAGGAGGAGGAGGGGGAGGGGGAGGGAGGGCGGGAGGGAGGGAGGAGGAGGAGGGAGGAGGAGGAGGAGGAGGAGGAGGAGGCGCAGGAGGCGCGGAGGAGAGAGGAGCAGAGGAGGGCAGGAGGAGGAGGAGGAGGCAGCGGAGCCTTCTGCGGAGGCCCGCCTCCTCGGGCCTCTTCCCCCCCCCGCGGGGGGCGCGCCGCCGAGCACAGGGCGCGCGGGAGGCCCGGGGGGGGGCTGCCGCCCCCCGCCGCCCGCCCGCCCCTCTCCTCGCGCGGCGGGCGGGCTCAAAGTGCCGAGAGCGCACGTCGCCCGCGGCACGGCTGCCGCTCGGCGCTGGCGCCGCCTTCCTTCGCACGACTCCCCAGGCGTGCCTGCGTTATTAGGGGGCCACGTGCGAACCCTACCCCTACCCCCCCCCCGATTTCCCAGGGGGAGTGTGGGGTTCAACGTCGCCCGCGGCACTGCGGCAATGCTCGGCGCTGGCGCCGCCTTCCTTCGCACGACTCCCCCCCGCGCGTGCCGGCGTTGCAGTCAAGAACCCTAAGAAGGACGCGCGGTGAGGACGCAAGACCCCGCCCTCGCAGAAACACCCCGCCACATGGCCGAAGGACGCCGCCCGCCCCAAGGGTACCCTGACAAGCGGGCAAGCGAAAGAGGCCAAGGACGAGACGCAAGAGCAAGGAAGAGCAAGGACGCAAGGGCACCCTAAGCAAAGTCGCGCGTCCTTATTCGGGTTTTTGACTGTATCCCCAGGTGGGCGACGAAGAGAAAAGGCTCCTGCGCGGGATGAGGCAGCGACCCCACGGCATGGCGTGCGGCGCCCGCGAGCCGCGCCAGCGTGGCACCACGCGTGGAGAACGGGGCGCTTCCGCGCGGCCGCACGCGGGCAGCTGACGCGCCAGTGTCGGTGTAGACGGTCCCATTTTGGGGCGTCGCTGAGTTCTTGTCGATGCGCCGTGAGGCAGGGCGTGGCTTTCGTCGTCGTCGCCCGCCCCCCCCCTTGAGCAGGGACCGACCGACCTGGCATTCCTATAGGCCTAGCACGACATGTTCTTGGAACCCAGAAATGCTCCAACTACAGAAACATGATTCCTAGAACACAAAGCCGATTGCCTAAGACAAGAAGAAGGTCTCGACCAGGAATGCTCCAACCAGACTTCGTGCAGACCACAGAAGGTGGTTCTTGGAACATTCTTTCGTGGACCTATAAGCAAGCCAGGACGCTTCGCCGCTGCTCTGCCTGGGTGAATAGATCCTCCCCCTTGGGTCAGTAGATCCCCGAGGGGGGATCTACTGATCCGGGTCAATCCAGACCTGGGTCAATCACCTCGCGGGATGCTGCTAGATCCTGAAAGATCCTGCGCCCAAACTTGGGTCTGGCTGTGCGGGATCGTGAAAGATCCGGCGCTCTGGCTGACCCCCGTTTGCATTGATCGGCTACACGTACGAGCGACCCTGGGCAAGGATGACCTTCGGTGCGCCACGCAACTAACGGGGGACGCGGGGTGGCCGGATCCAGGCGCGCAAGCTGCCGCTGCCGCCTCGCGTCCAGCCATCGGGGGACCCCATTGGGCCCGCTCTAGAGGTCACTCAGGCGACAGGTCACGCTTACGTGTAGTCGAATTGACCCCCGTCGGGGATCTTCTGACCCGGGTCGGTCAGGCCTTGCAGAATCCTGCAAGATCCTGCGCCCAAAAACCTGGGTCAACCAAAGGCTCCTGCGAAGGATCCTGCAGGATCCTGCACCCAAAAGCCCGGGTCACTGCGACCCTGGCCCTGCAGGATCCTGCAAGGTCGGGCGCTCTGGCTGACCCCCGTTTACATTGACCCCCGTCTCAAGTCGGGCGTTGGCAGGGCTGGGTTGAATGGGACTTGGTTTAGTGATGTGTACTGCGGGACGCCCCCCCGCCCCATTCCACTAACCGGAACTGCCGTCACCCGAAAAAACGCCAGCTGCGACAGACCTGGTTTAGTGATTCTCGCCAATATACCTCGGGGCTGTGGGGCCCTACTACTGACCGGGTCCCCTGACCTGGCCCTGGCTCCTGATCCGCCGTACTTTGGATGATTTTCCGACCTAAAATTGTGTCGGAAATCGACGCCACAGGAGCCTCAAGGGCGGAAATCGACGCTCAAAGGGGCCTTAAAAGTAGGGCGGAAATTTCCGCCCTACTTTCGAAATCGCCCAAAGTAGGGCGGATCAGGAGTCAGGGGGGGCCCTGGCTATACCCGATCAAGGCTCCCGACCCCGTCTCTTGAGCCCCCCCCCGGCCTCGGCCTCGTCGCCGGCGCTCTCGCCCGCGCCGCCCTCGCCGGCGCTGCTCTCGCCAGCGGCCGGCACCTGCCCCAAAGAATAAGGAGAGGGTGGGGGGAGGCGGGCGCCTGCGCGGCGCTTCCGATCCGGGCGCTGCTGCTGCTCCTCCTCCTCCTCCTCCTCCTCCGCCTCCTCCTCCTCCTCCGCCTCCTCCTCCTCTTTCTCCCTCCTCATCCTCCTCTACCTCCTCATCCTCCTCCTCTTCCTCCTCCTCATCATCATCATCATCATCTCCTCCTCCTCCTCTTCCTCCTCCTCCTCCTCCTCCTCCTCCTCCTCCTCCTCATCATCATCATCATCATCATCATCATCATCAGCATCATCATCAGCATCATCATCATCATCATCCCCCTCCTCCTACTCCTCCTGTCCCCACATCCTAAGTGGGGTTCTTGTTCCCCCCATCATAAGTCGGGTTCTTGTTATCCACATTCATAATGGGGTGTTTGTTCCCCACTCTCTCGACACCCCGCGCAGGAACCCCTCACCCCTCCCTCTCTTATTCATCACACCTCCTCCTCCTCTTCCTCCTCCTCATCATCACCATCATCAGCATCATCATAGTCGTCATCATCAGCAGCAGCATCATCACCATCATCAGCATCATCTTCATCATCAGCATCATCATCTGCATCTTAATCATCACCATCACCATCACCATCACCATCATCATCATCATCATCATCATCATCATCATCATCATCATCATCATCATCATCATCATCATCATCATCATCACCGTCACCATCATCATCACCAACACCACCACCACCATCATCAGCACCAGCATCAGCATCAGCATCAGCATCAGCATCATCATCATCATCATCATCATCATCATCAGCATCATCATCCCATCTCCTCCCCTCCACCATCCACCTCCCCTATCTTTGAAATGTTGGCAGGAGGTTGACCAGGCTTGACTTTCCAAGGGGGGGTAGCGGTTCCAGGGCCTGGGTAGGGCCCCGAAAGCCCGAAGGCGACGAACAGGCTCAGGACCCCATGTCCCGAAGGACACCTCTCTTCATGGTGGAGTGCCCTCTCCTCCGGCGTCGCACGCCTTGTCTTCGGCGCGGGCCCCTTGGGGAGGGGATGGCGAACTCTTCCACAGGGCCGGCGTGTCATCCGGAGGAAGTAGTGAACGGCCCCAGGGCCAGGAGACGGCCTCCCAGGGCTGAGCTCGTCCAACAAGCGCCCGTCGCGGCCTGGACACGAGGGCGGAGGGGCGGAGCTCGGGCCAGAGGAATCCTGACTCCGGACCCGCCATGCTGTGGGCGATTTCGCGAGCGGGGTGGAAAGACAAACCGCCCTGCTTTTCAGGCTCCTGTGATGCCGATTTCCGCCCTGCTTTGCCGTCGCTGTTTCCGCCATGCTGTTGCCGAAGTGCGCGACCTACTTCACTAAGGCGGCAATGTCCGCCCCACTTTTCCGCATCGTCCGGGGTGCATTTCCCAACACTCTTTGGAATCGGGAAATCAACCAAAATCAATGGCTCGGAAATCAAGGAAGGGGTCTACCGCTTGAGGCGTGCTCGCCAAGCATCGCCAAACGCAGGTCTTTGCCCCATGTTTCCGCCGGACCTCCCCCATGACTCCAGTTCCGCCGTGCTCTGGCTCATTTCCCGACATGGAATTGTGTCAGACATGCACTCCAAACGATGCGAACAGATGGGGCGGAAATTCCCGCCTCGAAGAGGTAGGGCGGATTGCTCCGCAAAAAATATGGCGGAAACGCCGACGGCAAAAGAGGGCCGAAGTAATGGAACTTGAGAAGTAGGGCGAAAACCTTCCGCCCCGCTCGCGAAATCGCCCAACGCATGGCGGATCCACAGGCAAGGCCACCTGTCGTATGGCTATCGCGCCGCTCTGGCGCTGGTTGCCGGACACGGCGCCCGGAAGCGGGCCTCCGCGGGCCCGCGCTTCGACAGGTCAGCTGTCCAAGTCTGCCCACGACCTTGATCATTACTCTATCCGCCAGTTCGATTTTAAAGGGAAATTAGGACACACAAATAAATACACACAAATAAAAATACTCCCCATATTTTCCCATATTTTCTGGGTTTTTGTCTTCCCCCCCACTTCCCATATTTTCCCATATTTTCTGGGGAATCGACGATTAATTGTGTCTGTGTGTTTTTTTCCCTCCTGAGATTTACATTTGGAGCACGAAAGCAAATGGAATTATTGCTACGGTGCGCCTGGGGCCTGGGAGCAGGGCGAGAGCGGACCGGCGGGGTGCAGAGGAAAGGTCGCCCCCCCGGGCCTCCGCAGCGCCGCGGCGGCCCAGGCGGCGGGCCTTGGGGGGCTGCGCCGCAGCGGCACTCGGCTGCGTGGCCTTCGCTGCGCCGTTCCGTCCGCGCTTCCCCATCGCCCCCCTTCCTCCTTTTCGGGCGACGAGGGGGGGGGGGGGGAAGAGGGGGCAGGACGGAGGAGGAGAAAAGCAGGAAAGCAGGACAGGAGAGGAGTCCGTGGGGAAATGAAAAGCGGCGGGGAGGAGAGGAGGCGGGGAGGAGCGGGAGGGCAAGGAAAAGGAGGAGAAGGAGCAGGAGGAGGAAGGGAAGCAGGAGGAGGAGGAGGAAGAACAAGACAGGGAGGAAGATTGGGAGAAATATGCTGGTGACTATAATGGTATAGTGATGGTATGGTGTCGGTACTGGTAATGATACTGACGTTGACGATAACAACGACGATGATGGCGATGGCGATGGCGATGGCGATGGCGATGATGATGATGATGATGATGATGATGATGATGATGATGATGATGATGATGATGATGATGATAATGATGATGATTGTGATGTCGATGATGCTGATGCTGATGATGATGATGATGATGATGATGATTATGATTATGATTATGATTATGATGATGATGATGATGATGATGATGATGATGATGATGATGATGACGATTGCGACGGTGATGATGATGGTGATGCTGCTGATGGGAAGGATGGCGGAGCTGGTGCGAATGATGATGTCGATGGTAATTGTGGTGATGATAATGACGATGGCGATGATGATGCTGATGATGATGATGATGATGATGATGATGATGATGATGATGATGATGACGATGCTCATGATGATGGTGGGAGTGGCGCTCATGAAGGCGATGTTTATGATTGTGTTGGTGATGGCGATGATGATGGCGTGGCACTGGTGTTCCTGATGATGATGATGATGATGATGATGATGATGATGATGATGATGATGATGATGATGATGATGATGGTGGTGGTGGTGATGAGACGCTGATGATGACGAGGAGTAGGAACAGGAGAAGGAGGAGGAAAAGGAGGAGGAGGAGGAGGAAGAGGAGAGGGAGGTGGAGGAGGAGAGGAGGAGGAGGGAGGAGGAGGAGGAGGAGGAGGAGGAGGAGGAGCGAATGTCACCTCAGGGGCAGGTCCGCTAGATAATCTACGCGTTGCGCGGCCCAGCGTCGCCCGAGAGCTCCGCGGGGAGCCTCAGAGCGTGCCGAACGGCGCAGATGGCGCTTCACCTCTGCGTGTACGTCAAGAATTTCTGGGAGGCCGCGCTCATCACGTTGTAGAATCGGCGGGCCACGGCCAGGGGCGCCAGAGTTACCGACGCCGTTCTCGCCCTCTGCACGCCGCCGGAGCCCACGCGCGTGAGCAGCGGCGTCGCCCGGCGCACCCAGAAGGCGACGCGTTGGAGCAGCTTCGGGCAGATCAGGTAATGCTGGATGCTGTCGGGCGCGCAACATCCCTGGTTGGAGCAGCTTCGGGCAAATCAGGTAATGCTGGATGCTGTCGGGCGCTCCGCAACCTTGTCTTCGCCAGACGCCAGTAGACATCTTCATCGTTCCCGCACGCCTCATTACTGTATCCGGGTTCTCCCTCTCTTCATGAAGTGCCCACGAGCGTTGTCATCGATTCCCTCATCCTCCTTATGCCCACCCTGTCTCCTGCCCCCATCTCGTCCCCATTTTGCGATTCCCAGACGGGGGTCAGCGGAATAGCGTAAGCCTCTGGAAAACAAACAGGGGGGAGACGAAGAAGAAGAAGAAGAAAACGATGAGAACGACAATGCGAGGGAACAACATGCCACCCATGATTATTCAGGAGGCTAGATTAAATCACTACCTCCCCACTCACCCCCCGACCACTTGATGAAGGGCCGGTAGGATGCTGCAGTCGAGATGGTGGTCCGCCACATCACAGACACCGTGACTGGGGAAACCAAAAGGTAGCGATACCGCTACTCCCCGGACCTCTTAGCGGTGACGACGAAGACCTCCGAGGAGGCCCCAAAAAGGGAAACGAGGAAAGGGTAGAGGTATGGGTACCTCTTCGTCCTCTGAATGACGCTGCACACCGATTATGCTGGCACTCTGGCCTGTTGTCGGTCTCGTTCGGTGGCCCAGGGGCCGCGAGGAGGTGGAGGAGGAGGAGGAGGACGAGGAGGAGGAGGAGGCGGAGGAAGAGGAGGAGGAGGAGGAGGAGAGGGAGGAGGAAGAGGAGGAGGATGAGGAGAAGAGGGAGGAGGAGGAGGAGGTGGAGGAGGTGGAGTACGAGGAGGAGGAGGTGGAGGAGGTGGAGCAGGAGGAGGAGGAGGAGGAGGAGGAGGAGGAGGCGTTCGGGGCAGAGAGGCCAGGCCTGTACGAGATCTGCCGCCGCAGACGCTGCATGCGCAGATGCTAGGATGCATGACGCCCGCGCGGGGGCAAGCTGCCGTCCTCCGAGAGAGCGAAGGCAATCGCCGAGCCGACAAGCTGGCCAAGCAGCGACGAGCAAGGTGCATGCGCAGGCTGGGATGCAGGACGTCCGCGAGGGCAAGCTGCCGTCCTTCGAGAGCGAAGGCAATCGCCGAGCCGACGAGCTGGCCAAGCAGGGGGGGGAGCGGCGCTGGCCAGGCACAACCCGGTGGCGTCATAATGCTCTGAGGTGTTCTTCTGCTGGCCAGGCCGGCGCCCAGATCCAGAGGGAGAGCTGCAGCCTGCTGCGGCGACCGAGGAGTGAACGACAACCTCGGGGCCCAAGCTCTCGCCGTGGTACCTCTGTAGGCCCCCTCTGGCCCAGGGGCCTCTCTCGGCGGCGTTTTGTTGCACGGGGTTCAGGCGTCTCGTGGGGGGGGGCTGCGGAAGTCCCAGCCCGGGAGGTCGAGGGGGCACCGATTCCGCCGCCACCCGAGGCCACGGCCCCTGGGAGAGCTGGCGTGGGAATTTCATCTGCTTGCGGGCGCCCTGTCCAGCCTCCGGTGGATGCACCACCCGTGGGGAGTATGCTCGAGGAGCGCGGACTCTCAGAGCCACCTGCAAGGGGCCCTGAGGCATCCTCGCAAGGAGCGTGGACAACGAATTCGGATGGGCTCGCTCGGCAGGTCCACCCCAACCGCGCCATCAAGTTAGGGCATCACCACCATTAGGAGAGCTCGCTCGGCAGAGGTGCGAACGAGGCCCAGCCCGCAGATGGCACAACGCGCGTCTCGGCTCCACTGTTTCTGGCAAGGTCAGGCCTGTGTGTTGGCAGACGCGTGCCAGCGTGTTGCGGCATGATCGGGGACAGAGCCAAAGCCCTACGTCGCGCGCCAAACGGTCAGAGCAGCTTGACTCGGAAGATCTGTCTTTACTCCCTGGCTGGATGGGGCCTCCAGCCAGGGTGAGAACATGTTCTCATCCGATAGGGGTGCGCCTAGGCGACTTCGAGGTCGGGATATCTGACATCTATTTCTTGCTCTCTGTCTTCCCCTCTCTTGGCGTCCAAGCCTCCCTCTCCTCCTCATCTTCCATCTGTTCCCATTCTAAATAACGCCCCCCGATCGCACCCCCAGACGTGTCTGTCGGTAGGGCGGGCCGGGCGCTTCGCCAGAGGGTTCGTCACCGCCGATGGCCCTGACGCTGAAACTCTGCAGCAGCTTCGAGGACGGAGGGGGGCCGTTTTCAAAGTGGAGCTCTCGCCTGAACGCCGTGCCCATGCTTCTTCAAAGCTTGCCGCCGCTCGAACGTCCCTTTCCCGTGTATGTTTCGGCCTCGTGCGCTGTTTTTGGCTCCATGGCCCAGGATAGTCCTCGATGCTTCTCGCCGAGAGAAGATGCACACGTCCGAGCGATGCCAAGAAAGTCTGCAATCGCTTCACGGATGGAGGGGGGAGATCGACAGGTGGCTCTCGCCGGAGCGCCGCGACAGTGCTTCGAAGAGTCTGCCACGGGCCTCGCAGATGGGAGGGCGTCGTTTTATAGAAGGCAGCTCTCGCCGGAGCGCCGCACATTTCCGTAGTAAAAACTTGCAGCAGCGTCGCGGACGGAGGGGGCTCGTCTTCACGATGGACCTCTCGCCTCAGCGCCGCGAGCATTCGTCTTCCAATTCTGCAACAGTTTCAAGGACGGGGGGGCGGCTCCTTGTCAAAATTAAGTTGTCGCCGTGGCGGCTCACCCATCAGTCTTAGTGAAAGCCTGCAGCACGTCCAGAGACTTGGGGCAATTCCCTTTCCACGTGGGGCTTCCGCTTGGGGGCTCTACAAAACCTAGACACCAGAACCTTGAACATATGCAGCAGCTGCGCGGATTCAGTCAACCCGTATCGTAACGATGCGCGATACGAATGCAAGGGCCTTGGAAGCACATTTCGAAGTGGCCAAGGATGGACCGAGGAGGCAGGGATGCAAGGGTACCCTTGGGAATGTCGCCCATGCTTACTGTGCGGGTTGACTGTAGAGGGCGGCGCCTCGTCAAATTGGGGCGCTTCGCTCGGGACTTCTGCGCGCTGCAGGGCCACAGACAAAAAAACTCGAGCAGACGCAGCAGCTGCACGGGGGGAGGGCGGCCCCCATCGCTCAAAACACGGGGCTCTTCGCTGGAGGCCTCCGCGACGCACGCGCCCAGGGTCGAAGAGCCGGTGCAGCGCGTGCACAGGCGAAGCGACCCTGCCGCAGCACGGAGGCCTCGCTGGGCACCTTTTGGGGGCCGTACAGGGCAGTTTTTAACACATGGGATTTTCAAACATATGAGATTTTAATACTTCAAACATATGAGACTTTAATACATGGTCAAATTATGAATAAATTCACGCGTGAACTCCTCGTTGTTTTTCATACGAATTCCCAGCATGTCTAACACATGAGCCGCACGCGGAGCACGTATTCGAAACGGCACTGCAGGATCACGCCTCGCCGCGCTCCGTGCTCTGCGCGCTGGGAGAGGGTGGCTCGGCAGTGGATCTTCCTTTTCCAAGCGGCGCTCTCGCCTCCTCCTCCTCCTCCTCCTCCTCCTCCTCCTCCTCCTCCTCCTCCTCCTCCTCCTCCTCCTCCTCCTCCTCCTCCTCCTCCTTCCGATTGAGGCCCATGAGGTGCGGATCGTTCCGAGGGGCGCTTC